GAATTCTGGGAGTTGAAGCCCACTCATCTTAAAGTGGCCAAGTTTGGACAACACTGCCTTAGGAGGTCACTTGGATTTTAAAAAGTAATGTACTATTCAGATAGCTGAGTCCTCAAGTGGGCAGAGCCTAAGGGCATTTGTCTTGTTAAATTACTCTTGCTGCTTAGCCAAACTGAGATTATTTATTCTTTCTGAAGATGGCTTTTGTACTGCAGCAGGGACCAATAAATAAATGCAGAAATTCCTGTGCGGCCCCCTGCTTCTGACGCCCAAAGGGCAGAAAATCCTCCTCCAATTAATAGCAATCTCTTTTGTGAAACTGCTGGTTATTTACCACTTGAACGGAATTAATTCTCTCAAAGCCACCCACCTGACTCGGTTTACTTTATTTGGCAGTGTTATTTCAGAACCATTATAAATACTGATATAAAGAGCTGCACAGAGAATGGGAAATTGTGAAGAGAATTTCCAGCCATTCTTACTCCAAATTTGATTTTTTAAGATGGAAAGGAAAGGGACATGGAGAACTGAATTGAGATGACGTTGCTCCATGACAGTAGTCTTCTGTAGTATCTCTACAGAAAAATACTAACTCACTAAAACTAACTTCACAAACAGAAGTTATTTTGCATGGTGAGGCAGCATTAGGGATCATTCGTTCTTTCTGACTGTATATAATAATTACTCTCTGTCAACTGTTTTTGTTTATTTTCAAGTGACACTGAATTTCCCTTGTACTCCCTTTTTTATATTTAATATTTATAAATACCTTCTGATTTGAACTTGAGGGTTGAAAAGTTAATATCTGGCAATCCAAAAGGAAATTTCCCTTCCACTTCCTAGCTTCTCAGATTCACCAGTGTATCATGCTATTTGTGCCTATGAGATCAAGAGATCTCATTGGACTGCTACCGCTCCATCATAATTTTTCGTAGACAGGCTTGTTGTTGTCGTTCTTTCTTCTCCTTCTCCTTCCTCTTCTTCCTCTCCTCGTCCTCCTCCTCCTGTGAAAAATGGGTACCCTTGACTACAATTGTTTTTCTCAATGGAAGATACTCATTAAGTGTTCAACTTCAGTGGCTTTTTCCTAGAGGTTTCTGTACCTCAAAACGAGATTACTGAGATTTTCAGGTAGTCAGGCACTGGATGTGACTGCTGTTACCACCCCAAATTGCTGAGGAAAATGAAGCAGTTGAGAACTATGGTAGCAGAAACCCAGGCAGTGGCACAAATACTGGTAAGAGCTTGTGTTCAAGGCTGCACTATTCATAAGAGTGGAAAGGTCTCAGTTCTTCACTGAGCAATTCAAGCTGTTTCATTATAAGTTACTGGAAAATTATGATCAGCTTCATATGGAGCTTTCAAGTATGGCTGTGCAGGAGCCCCTCTTGAAAGCAATAAAGTGACTGTGTCTTTTTCCAAGTTTGCACGACTGCTTCAGAAGGTGGTCTCGGCTGCCTTTGCATGCACAGCCACTTCATTGCACTGCAGAAACAACCAGGAAGAGTTCCTGAAACAGCTCCATAAGTCTCCAAAAAGACACTGTTACTTTAAAGGAAAAAGGCATGGCTCTTTGGAAGAATTCATATAGTCTTATATGCTCATTAGGTCTTTTGTGGGAAAGTCTTCATCTTGTTTTCTCTGTCTACTTAATTCCTTCTCTATTTCATACAGACCTCCGGCGAGAGCTCAGTGGTGGCACAGAGATTTGACACTCTAAGACTGCACTTTGGCATCTTCAGGCAGAACAAAATCTGGAAAATTATGTGAATCATATTACATAATTGTGAGCCTGCCCAGAGATCACTCTGTGGTTCTACTTATTTAATGATAGAAGTGGAGCTATTTCATTGATTAAAAGAAATAGCTCTTTCAATGTATATAATCTGACGTTTAGTAAGGATAAAGTCTTTCTTTCATTCTTTTTGCGCCTTCACATCAGTCTTGAACTCCCAGTCTCTACCCTGGTGCCTTAACCACTACACCAAACTGGCTGTTTCATTTACTCTTAATTTAGCTGGTTTATACTAATTTTGGCATTTTAAATGACAAAGCACACTTGCTTGGGATAAATCCCTATGAAAGCTGAATAAACGTACTTGGAGCAGAGTAAATGAATTCTAAAACAAATTCATCTGTTAGCAGCAGAAATCAATACTGCTTCTCCTGTACTGTTACTTTAAGCCAGAGAAGGACTGCTCGTGGACTCTTCAGCATCCTCAGATTGTTCTGGCAAATTTCAGTGGCATTTCAGGCAGTTTGGGGGGACTTGAGAAAGGAATTTAAATAGCAAGTTTGCCTCCCATGAAGTTCCCCATTTCCACTTTTAAAATCCTCCTTAGTGTCCAAAAAGTTTTCCCCCCCGATTTAAGTAGATTTAGGTAGTGGTAAATGGAAATAATAGCAGGAGGTCTCCAAAAGGCCTTCTACCCTATTGCCATCCTTAAACTCCATGTCCCAAAAATGGATTGAAAAAAACTAGACACATCTCTTCCTTAATATCACCATATGCCTTTCTTTAGGGGGTCAGGAGTCTGCTCAAAGATCATGCTGAGGAGTGGCCAACACAGAGATATGGATGTTCCTAAGTAAAGTCTGATGGATCAACTAATGGCTTCTAGTGATTTGGATACTTGCTAAGAAAGAAGCAGCTTACCTAGACCTTGGTCTGCCCAGTAAGACACATGCACTTCTTCAGATAGATAGATAAAGATGGATAGAGATAGATCAATCTAATTTACAGTTTCGAAGGTATGCCACAATTGTTTAGATATACCCATTTATGCTTTCACTTTATGTCTGAAACAATTGGATTTGACAATTCTAATGAGTTCTATGTGGCTCTGTCCTTAGTTGTTGATCTGAACGTTCAACTAGCATACAGCACTGCCACTGGGCTTTATCTGGGACTACCTGGTATAATGTTTTACACATTTATAAATTTGCAGTTGTTTCCAATTTAGAACATCCAAATTTTAAAAGATGACTCCTTTTTGGTGTTGCCCAGACTGCCTGTGTGTTAGCAAACAAATGTGTGAATCTACCTTATGCTGTGTCAGCCCAATATTCCATCTAATCTAGTTTGACACTTATTCTGCAAATCAGCAACTTCTAAAGGTCTCAGGAACCACCTTATGCTTTTCTGCCATAGATAAACGTTGAGCTTTGTACATGCGTGGCACAAGCAATGCCATAGGGCCTCCAAAGCAAGAATGTAGCACAATCCTAAACCATGATCTCCTAAACAACAGGCAGATTTTGATATTTACTATACATTGTGCCAGTAACTTATGCCATTTTGCAAATGTGTTGGTTTATTGATTTTGTTAAAACAATGTGTGTCCCCCCCCCCATAATAACAAGGCATCTGAAATATCAAACAAAGAATGAGACACACACAGTGGCAGGTCATAAGTAAAAACCCTGTTATTATAGAAGACTGAGGTGTTCTTTATCTGTGCCACAGAAGGATGTGCAGAAGGATGGTTTTGCATGAAAGAGATTCTGCAAATAAGTCACATGTGTACACAGAGGGACAAAGCACCATGAAGACTAGGACTAACTGTCAAAATGTGCAAACAGTGAACACTAAAGCAGTACAATAAGTTATAGGCTAGAATTAAGAGCATAATTAAGGAAAAGAACATGGGAAGAGGCATGGGACAAAATGAAAAAGCTCCATGGTACATCAAAGTTTCTGGTTTGTCTGAAAGTATACTGGGCTTTGGTGGATGAAATCAGATTTGTGTTGGTTTCTTGAAGTCTTGCAGACATTGTGCTTGTCTTCACTCTTGCATGAAACCTGCACAAGGAAACACAAGCAAAAACTACTAAGCTGAGTGCAATACACATTGCAGTTCTCTGTTAGAAAAACCTAGTCACAGAAGATTAGTTAGGAAGGGATTCAAATAGATGCTGAGGTTCTTTTGATATAATAAGCCAGACCAAAGGGAACAAGGTTGCATTCACATGTAAAGTTAAGACCACTGGGATGTGCAAAAAAAAATTCACTGGAAGGGCCATTTTGTGTACCAAACAGTTGTTTTGAGGTGACCTGTACCAAAAATGAAATATGCGTATTTCAGCTGTGTTGATCCATGCACAAAATGGAAAAGGGCTTTTTTTCATTTGAACAGAAATATTTTGGGATTGGGAATGGTGGAAAAAAAGCCCAGGTCATCAGTGGTTGAGGGAAGGAAGGGAAGGTGCTGGGAAGACAGGAGGGAGGCAGCAGGCTGGTGCCATATGCTGCCCTGGAACATCAGCATGGGGATGCATTGGAAAGATGTGATGGCAGGAAGCCTGGGGCAATATGCTGCACAGAAAACTGCTGAGGGGAGAGAGGATGATGTGCATCAGATTGGCCAAACTCTCACCTGTCCAGATGTTGTTTTGTCCCAAATCCAGAATAATCTAAGTAACCCAAGGTTCAGTTCTACCAGTGTCTGCCCTGAAATAGTTCCTTGGAACCTCCCAAACACAATAGTTTGTTCTAGGTTTGAAACAAAACATTTTCCTGTTCTGCACACACCTGTATAGGACAGAGGGTTTTTTAAACTATATTTTGTTGGACAACATGTAAGGGAAGTAGCTTAGTTTATTTATGACAACAGAGTCATACAGTCATTTTTAGGATGAGGACTACACTTGCCCTTTGAATAGCATGCTAGGGCCCAAAAGGCAAAAGTGGACAGGGAGGGCCAAAGAAATGGGAGGCATCATAAGAAAAACTATGTTTATTGTCATTTTATTTAATTTATGAATGCTTATTAATGTCAGGAATAATTATTTCTCATATATTTAATAACTCCCTTCAAAACTGCAGTTTGGTAACAGCTTTGAGATAATCTTTGAGGGCTGCCTCCAAGGTTTGCCTGAGGATGCAGGCTGCCCTGGGCTCAAATTGTGCTGTGTGTATCAAGCTGAAGTGGGTGAGGTTACACACTGCAGTAAAATGTCAATACAATATTGTACAATACAATAATAATAAAATACACAATGGCTTAGCATAATGTGCATACCAGAGTGCAGTCTGAGCACAGCTAGGTATACATTTGATTCCATTGAAGATGACTATATTTGAGATTACAAGAAAGCACCGTCAGGGATGATTGGCTCTGAAAGCTATTTTACACATAAAACATCATTTGACCTAAACAACACATGTGTGAGGTCTTAGTGTCCTATACCTTAGTATATTCCCATGGGCAAATTTTGTTCAGTTATGCATTTAACTTTATAGATATCAGCCTACAACATGTATAGAGACCATTACTGGAAAGCAGCAGGTGTGATAGTTTTGAATCATCTATGGATTCCAAAATCAATTCATTTTTCTAGTTCCTAAAAATATATCACAGGTACCTTTAATGTGATGGACATTATGCATTAAGAAACATAAATAGGAGTTAGAGCTAGCCATTTTCAATCAGATCTAATATTTAACATCTTCTCAGATGCTGAAACAATTGAGAATTGATAAGACTATTTTTAGTTGTATAAATAAGGATCACTAGCAATGATGATCCATTGATGGTTTAACAATAGGCTAGAAACTGGTTTCCCAAAGGGCAAAGAAAACCTTTATATGAAAGCCTTCGACAAGGCAAAGAAAACCTTTATATTCCAGCAGATACGTAATACAGCTTGCAGAACATGATATATCCTTCAGTAGGGGAAGAAAGAGTTCAAACTGCAAGGGAATGCAGCCTATAGACTGCCTAAGTTGTCTTCAGCCTTGCAGAGGTGTCTGTTTGCCTCTATTCCCTGTTACTACCTTTTACAAAATCAAGCCGCTTTTACAAAGACCTTATAAGTCTCTAGTGCTTTCTCTTCAAGACTGAAGAGCTTATTCCTGGAACTACTCATTGCCCTGGGAAGCATAAAGAGCACAATATACTGGAATTGGATACTGTCCAGATTTCTGGTTATAATACCATGTTGCTTCCAAAAGTGGCTGGACTGTAACTTTGAATGTGCATATAAATTCACCAAAAATACTTGTGACTACTGGGTGATTAGGCCTACCCTATTTGGGCTGCAAAAAATCCAGAGAACCTCCAGATAGCAGCAAAGATGTAGAGAAAACTGCGTGAATGTGGTATCATCTTGTGGTCATATGGATATTTGAAGGGATACATCAGAATTAGCCTTATAATTGACTCTAGGTCTTGGTACAGCAACCATTAAAAGTAGTTTCACATTTTACAAGCATTTCTATTTACAGATTTATCTATTTCAGCTCCAGAGAATTCACAGCACCTAGACTTTAGTCACTGGCAGGTTACTTACCAGATTTGCTGCATCTGCGGTGTTCATCTAACCTACCTTAAAAAGTGATTGAATATCACTAATGTTACAGTCAGACTCTGCTCATATCTGTTTCAACTTAGTCATACAAAGAAGTATGTATAACAAATTTTGAGCCTGCTTTTACCATATGTGAAGTTGCTTGTATATCTAAAATCTTGTAAACAGTAAAAATCTATATAGGAGAAATCTGTTGAAGAATTTCTCTCTTCACCCCATTAAAACAGAATCAAGTTTGGCCCCTCTTTCCTTACCTCATTCTGCATTTGGTGAGTACTTTACGTCGCCCAAACCAGCGAATGCTTCCTTACTGAATTCAATGGAATTATCTAGAATTAGAGTATAGGAGAAGTTGGTTTCTAGCTGAAGCATTTAACTTCCATCAGTGTGATGGATACCCTATTCTCCTTTCTGTTTTCCTGTGGCTGAGAGAGGATGCAAGCAAAAGGTTCAAAGCCTGATTTCTCAACCTTGATAAAAGGGAGAGGTAATGTTAAAGCAAGAAGGGAAATTCAAAGGTGAAGGAACAAGGAAGAAAATACAGGGATAGGTTTGTCCTTTTCTAAAGTCCAAAGATCACCATGAGTGAAAGAAGGGGAAATGAGACTTTTCTTACAATACACCATAAAATGTAACAGAGAAAAGGTAGTAATATCAAATTTATTACATCTGTTCTCTGGACAATGTTAATCAGCTAGAATTCTGTGCAGCCTTAGAAGTAGCATTTAAAACTACAGGATTTAACACAGAGACCCAAGAAACATAAGGCAGACAATCATACCACAGATCAGAGGAACACAGTATCAGCATCAACTCAAAGCAGACAAGAGAGCAGCCCCCAATAGCCTAAGGAAGGACCAAACCAACATCATCCTCCCAGCAGACAAAGACCGAACTACAGTCATTATGGATAAATCATGATACTTGCAAAAAGCCAAAAAATTATTAGAGGACAAAGAAACCTATATCCCAGTTAACACCAACCCAATATAGAAACTAGACAACCTAAGCAAGAGAACCCTTAACGACCTAACCAAGAAAGGCCAGATCACAAAAGAGGAACAGTGGCTGATGAAAAGCAGTGGGCCCATCCTCCCACGTTTCTATGGATGACCAAAAATACACAAGCCTGACATACCTCTCTGAC